ACTAGCAGCAACACATAACCGTAATTTAATGTGTAAAGACACACTAGCAGCAACACATAACCGTAATTTAATGTGTAAAGACACACTAGCAGCAACACATAACCGTAATTTAATGTGTAAAGACTCACTAACAGCAACATATAACCGTAATTTAATGTGTAAAGACACACTAGCAGCAACACATAACCGCAATTTAATGTGTAAAGACACACTAGCAGCAACACATAACCGTAATTTAATGTATAAAGACACACTAACAGCGACATCTACCGACAGATTAATGTGTGGTGGTAAATTTCTAGCAACATCTACCGACATATTTATGTGTGGTGGTAAAGTTTTAGCAACATCTACCGACAAATTAATGTGTGTGGTGGGAAATTTGTAACAACATATACCGACTGGTTAATGTGTGGTGGTAAATTTCTAGCAACATCTACGACATATTTATGTGTGGTGGTAAAGTTTTAGCAACATCTACCGACAAATTAATGTGTGTGGTGGGAAATTTGTAACAACATATACCGACAGGTTAATGTGTGGTAGTGAAATAATCATGCGTTTAATATCGTCATGATTCATCTTCCGACGTCACTTTCCTGGTACACAGATAACAATATATTTAAGTTTTTTTTAACTACATGACAACTTTTAAAATATTTAACTTCACGATTCAGCTATGATGTATGAATAAGACCATTATAGTCATGTTTTTTGTTGTTTTTTTTACATTAACTAGAAAAAATGCTCACTGTTGCGAAGGGTACATGCAACAATGCTTTTACTTGAATCCAAATAAGATAGCCTAAGGCATATATTAGAGAATGTAGCTCTGGAACAATATCATTTAAGTTAAAAAAGATTTTTTGAGCGAGATTTCGAGCAAATACACTTTGTTAAGCCTATGTTGTTAAGCCTATCGATACGTTCTAGTTTAACACGGAACGTCGTCGTCCAATAAAAGTTTTTGTATGTAGGGTACATTGATCGTCTTATTTATTTTTTTTATTTTTTTGTAATCATCTTTACGCTTTTCTTTTGCTAAACTTTAAAAGAGTATTGTACACACACACACACAATCACTTATAAAACGTTTTAGAACCAGGCCATCTGTACTCTACCCACCGTGGGTATCGAAACCTAAATTCGAGCATTATAAACACATAGACGTACCCTTAAACCACCGGGTGGGGGGATATATATATATTAAACTAAAGAACTGATAACTGTGTTAGATAAATATTATTATCTGATGTCAATGGTTTCTTAACGACACACACAATTTCAGTAAAATAGTATTCCTTAAAAAATTAAGCCGCTGACTTTCCAGCTGGATTACAAAGCCCTCTACTGTTTACATATGAACATAAAACATTATTTTTGTACTTAAGGTAAAAAACAACAACAACAAAAAAAATATTATTTTGTAAGATCCAATATAGATATTTTAAAATCCTAAAGTCATTCAACAATTGTGAGTGGATGGTTGACTGTGGAAATTTGAAAAAATTTTGTTTTGTTTATAGTTGTTAAATCGAGTACAGACGACACTAACGCCACAGGCGGGAGTACCGAGTACTATGAACCTGTTGTGGAAGTTTTTCCACCTCCGATTTTCTCCGCTATATCCGAATTTCCTGGAGACCTTGAGCCAGACACTGCAAAAACATATTTTGATAAGAATGGTCAATTTGAGGCTGTTGATTCAAGTCGCGCTTATTTACTGTTGGATGGGTAAGTGGTACTATTTAGATAATCATTAGTTTCAACTCGTTAGTTAATGGGTAAGTGGCACTATTTAGATAATCATTAGTTTCAACTTGTCTGTTATACCTAACAATGAAGCTTCAGAGACTGTTGATTCAAGTCGTGCTTATTTACTGTTGGATGGGTAAGTGGCACAATTTAGATAATCATTAGTTTCAACTCGTCTGTTAATGGGTAAGTGGTACCATTTAGATAATCATTAGTTTCAACTCGTCTGTTATAACTCTAACAATGAAGCTTCAGAAAAAATAATTTTGTTGTTGTATCTACTGTGATAATTGGTTTTATTTCACTACAAGGACTTTCACGTGGCCGTCTGCATCTCATTGTTTGCTTTAGGTGTGTAAGGAGTAGCAGGTTTTTCTGAATAATCTTGTATCCAAAGTTTTGTTTGTTGCAGTGTAAATAAATAACTGTTTAACTTTTTATCTTCTAATCAAAGGAAACATTTACCCGATATTTTTATTTATTCGTAAATAACTAAGTAAATGATAGCTAAGGTGTTGCACGAGGCACAGAATGTTTTAAATCGAATATTTGAAATATTATACAGGATTTTCCTTTTGAACTTTCACACCGCAGCTTCGTCCCCATACCTGAGTTATTTCCAAACACATATTAGATGAGTCTAGAACAACTGCCAGTCAAACGATCTGAGTAATTCAAATTCCCAAAAAACTTTAAAGGAGGATTGTATAGATTTTAAACCAAAATATTGGTTTTGTATTGCAATTGTGGTTCAATGCTTAGGTTAACTTAGGTTAAAATTTTAAAACATATACGTACATTTTAGAACTCATTTGTAATATTGTTTTTTATTTTCTGTGGTCGAAGATAGTTTGGTGCAAATGAAATATCTAGTTAAAAGTTAACTATAAAAAAAATGCGGCATTTGTTCATCGGCAATTGTGCACTAGCAGTTGTCCACCGGAAGTTGTGCACTGGCAGTTGTTCATCGGCAATTGTCCACCGGCAGTTGTCCACCGGAAGTTGTCCACCGGCAGTTGTTCATCGGCAATTGTGCACTAGCAGTTGTCCACCGGAAGTTGTGCACTGGCAGTTGTTCATCGGCAATTGTCCACCGGCAGTTGTCCACCGGAAGTTGTCCACCGGCAGTTGTTCATCGGCGATTGTCCACTAGCAGTTGTCGTGCTCCCATTTTAGTTACCAAGGTTATACATCAATCAATACCAAACATAGTTTACTTACCAAGATTATACATGAATCATCACTAAAATATTTTAGTTATCAAGACTGTATGTGAGCCATTACCAAATATTACTTAGTTACAAAGACTGTATGTGAGCCATTACCAAATATTGCTTAGTTACAAAGACTGTATGTGAGCCATTACCAAATATTGCTTAGTTACAAAGACTGTATGTGAGCCATTACCAAATATTGCTTAGTTACAAAGACTGTATGTGAGCCATTACCAAATATTGCTTAGTTACAAAGACTGTATGTGAGCCATTACCAAACATTGCTTAGTTACAAAGACTGTATGTGAGCCATTACCAAACATTGCTTAGTTACAAAGACTGTATGTGAGCCATTACCAAACATTACTTAGTTACCAAGACTCTATGTGAAGCGATACCACACATATCATCTGTAGTGTAGTGCTGACGGAGCTAACAGGAGCATTGCTGCATCATCTGAAATTGGAGCTGAGTCCCGACACTTCGAAAACTAAAAATATGTATATGAAAATATAACCAAATTCTCAGAGTGTTAGAGAACACTGTCTGGCTGTGATCCCTCGTATCCACTGCTAAAGCTCCATCAGACCAACAATTACACACACACACACACTGTAACTTTCCCTCAGGAACTGGCATCAGACACCATGCGACTGCTCCGGCTCAAGATATGGTGTTAGAGCGTTAACATGGTGAATGTTATTTTGCCGTACGCCACATTGTTATTAAGACACACGAATATGGTATTAAAAATTAACAAAATACATTTTGCAATTATACTATGTGTTTAAAACGTACAAACATTTTTTAAATGCCTGTTATTTACACAACATTCAATGGAGGTCGCTTTTTTTTAGTTATTCCTGTTGAGAGGACAGGAGGTGTGTAAAGCTTTATAAAATTCAGAGTTGTTAATATTGCGGTTCAGTTAGAAATACAGTAAATAAATTATATGCATTTTTAAAACTTGTTTTAGTGTTAGTGATTTTGATATGATATCCAGTTAGTTTTTTCCTGTTATTTTATCTTTCTACTTAATTTAAAAGAAGTTGAATTGCGTGTCTTCTCTTTGTAATATATCTGTATTCAATTTAGTACTAATGTAAGTAGTTTCAAATAATTAGTGTTGAATATATTTTCTTTATTTAAAATGGACTCATAAAAATGGAAATTAAGTTTTTAATATGATATCTTTATCCTGATGGTGACGTCACACGTCTGACAAATTCTGGAAGGGCTCCGCCACTCTAAAATGTATCACTACAGCATTGCAACTATAGCTTGTAACTGACGACTTTGTTTATGTATAAATTAATAATGGTGGGACACTTAGCTTCGTATCGTATGATTAGGGCTTAAAATTTTCCAGAGATGAATTTCATTAATGCTTTGTATGGGTAAAAGGCTTCACATAAGCTATAAGCATAACATATGAAGATAATATAAACATACTTTGTACAGTTATCACGGATTCTAGTTAGGTCCGGGTGTCGTTGAAGGGTTAAGTAAACACGTTTTGTACAGTTATCACGGATTCTAGTTAGGTCCGGGTGTCGTTGAAGGGTTAAGTAAACACGTTTTGTACAGTTATCACGGATTCTAGTTAGGTCCGGGTGTCATTGAAGGGTTAAATAAACACTTTTTGTACAGTTATTACGGATTCTAGATAGGTCCGGGTGTCGTTGAAGGGTTAAGTAAACACGTT